TTTAAAATCGAGTTGTGATTGTTTTACTGAATTTTTGACCTTCCCGGAAAACTAAATAATGGATTTTCGACCATAAAACTTTGTCTATAGATAGGAAAAATGATTCGTAGAATATTTTAAAAGTTTCAGTCGAAAAGAATGTTTATATGTCGAGATATTGAATTTTCTACTAATAGTTGTTGATCACAAATATCGAGTTTACTTGAAAAGGGAACATTTTTTTTTGACTGAAACTTTCAAAGTATTCTAACAATCATTGGATCTATCTATAAGCAAAATTACAAGTCGGTATTCTATAATTTGATAATTCCGGTAAATATCAAAATATGTATTAAAAATCGACTTTGGAGACTCATAGACACGAGCTCGTCTAAGAGTTAGGTAGTCTTACAAAGACTTTCTTATGAGTTCAAATATAGTTCGGATAGTTTCGCCGTGAGCCCTCTACATTTGAGTTTCCTTCGATCAAAAACTCAAGTTAAAAATATATAAAACAATAATTATTTCATGCTGAATAAAACTATCAGTAGTTTTAAGGTTTTAAAACTTATCGAAATGGATTTCTACTTTATTTAATGTTTCTATATTAGCTAAAGTTTAAAGAGTTAACGTTCTTTTATGATACCGTAATATTAAGTTAACAGATCATTATTTTAATGAATTAATAAATGTTTTCATTTAATTAATGGCATGATTACAATTCAGAAAATAATATTTGTATATGTCAAATAATTTATACATAATAAATTTATCTTCTTTATTTATTGCTTAATCATTGATAATTTATTTTTATCTATATACAAAAATGAAAAAATCTAAGGAAATATTGATTTAATTTGTATTATATATATATATTTTTTCTTTCAGGTATTATTCATTATGTGAAGTATCTGTTGAAAATGATGTTATAAAACAAAAACGTTTACCAGATCATATTGATAATTTACCTGAACGTCTTCCAATAAATGCTCGTTATTATTTACGAAATAATCATGCAATTGAAACACTTGTACCAGATCATTTAATAAATGAATTTATACGTGAAGCACGTATTCATTTTTTGCAATTAGATCCACTTGAAGTTTGTGCACAATTAACATTAAAAGATTTTGCAATATTTAAATCTATTCAACCAACAGAATATATTGATTATATATTTAAATTAAAATCATCTTATGGTACACCACATCTTGACAAATTTCTTCTATTACCTAATCAAGAAATGTATTGGACTATAACAGAAATAATACGTGAAACAAATCTAATGCAAAGATCAAAAACAATTAAACATTTTATTAAAATAGCAAGTAAGAAAGAAGATTTTATTAAAATATGAAAACAATAATATTTTATTTTTCTTTAATTTAGAATCTTGTAAAGATATGAAAAATTTTAATTCCATGTTTTCAATTGTTAGTGGACTTGATCATAAAGCTGTACAACGTTTACAAGCTTCATGGGAACATGTACCAGAGAAATATAAAAAAATATTTGAAGTAAATCATTCTATACTTATAATTATATTCTATTTATAAAGCATCATTACAGAATTTGCATGGAAGTTATGGAAAGAAACTTATAAGACATTCCATAATCAGTAAAAAATCAGAATGAAAAATCATGATATAGAGTGAAGATTATAAGAGCTTTCGATTCAAATCAGTTGCATCCGGAAGATAAAATAGAAAATTTACAGACTTCGAAAAGAGATCATGAGTAACTAGTGGAGTAGTGGGTAGCTATCCCAGTCAGACAAAAATTTTGAAAAACGCGTTTAAACGCACAATCGGGAACCGCGACTGTGATCCATTAACGCTCATTAAAAAAACGCACGAAAACGCGTATATTGGCGTTTTTTCTAACTTTATGGGCGTTAAAACGGCGAAAATTCCAGTTTTTGAGTGTTAAAACGCACTATTATTCTAGAACTTAAAAACAATACGTTTTAACGCTCCAAAATTGGAGTTTTCGCCGTTTTAACGCCCATAATGTTAAAAAAAACGCCAATATACGCGTTTTCGTGCGTTTTTTTAATGAGCGTAAATGGCTTACAATCGCGGTTCCCGATTGTGCGTTTAAACGCGTTTTTCAAAATTTTTGTCTGACTGGGTTTTTCATCAACGGGTGACATTATAGTAGAGAATATTGTGCACACTTATTCATTCTTTAATTGCGATACATTATTCTTGAATTATTGATTATCTCACTCAATAAAAAAAGAAATATGACAATCGCAGTATTGCTATTGTTATTGATGCTCCTACCAGTCAAACACCATGCAAGTGACCTGTTTTTCCAGTCGGACATTGAACTCAGCGAGTAGGGCAAACAATTTAAATCGGTACATTCGATTGAGTTGCTTGGTTCATTCTTCACGTCGTCTCTTCTCGTCTGTGTCAAAAGGGAGTCGCGTTTCCTTTTGACTTGATCAACATTTGTACTCGTATTTAGTGACAATCTAACCGTACAGCATCATGAAGATGCCAGTTTCATATTCTGCTTCTATGGATACAAACAGTTGTGAAGTTAGTTAGAGATTTAACTGAGGAAAAGAACTCATCTTCTAAAGAACATCGTGGAATCTGATGGAAACAAATAGAAGATCTATTGATGACGTTAGTATGCTACAGAGAAAATATGAATTGTTTGCATGGAAGAAATACTCAATTTCGTGACTACAAGAGCACTAAAATTCAAGGGACAGGCTCATTATAATGTTTAGCTAAAGCTTAAGGATAGTCAGAAGTGAAATTAAAAGTTTAGCATAATAAGATAAAGCTAAAATTCTCTATGATATTTACTTATGTTGAATAATTAGTCGTTTGCATTCATTAAACAGCATGCCATCTCAATATCCTCTGTCGAACATTTGATTGCGATTCGTCGGCAGGGATGTGTCGTCTGTTTGAGGGTGCGGCCAGTACGGGTTCAATTATCTCTTCCAGTGCAACATCTGGTGTTGGCGTTCCACATTTTTTTCCACAATTCTTTGCTGCTTATGGTCGCCCTTGTTCCGAGTGTGAGCAACATCGATATTTGACATGTTCGAACGGGACATGTGGTTGTCCTTCACACTCATTCTGGAATGGAGCTCAATGCGAAAATCAACGGTATCTTGGAGCGCCATGCAGTCAACCAGACTCTTGTTGGAATGATATATTCTGACTGCAATGTACAATGTACAACATCTGCTTGAGTAAAAGAGAAATATAATAAACATTGTATTTCTAATATTAGGGTCTCTCTTTCTCGCTAGACAGTACCAATCCACCACCAATCATTCAATGGACATTTGATGGTGATCTCAACGATACTTTCGGTGCTTACAGCGGCATATCGACGAATGGCATCATCCACTATATGTCACCGGGCTATTCCGGCTATGGGATGGCTGCCTATTTTGCTAACAAGAGTTACTCTTTTGTTCCTTACTCGCTCAAACTGGCCGGTACCAGTTTTACGATTTCTACATGGATCAAGTTATCATCAAATGCTCCACTAGTCTCATCCGAATTCGTAATCTTCACTCATTGTGAGAGCGAGACTATTGATAAATGTCTGTATTTAACTGTGCGATATGGTAAACTTCTCATTTCTTTTTACATCAGCAATATTTCAGGAAATACTTCTCTAACAAGCAATATTTGGTATCACGTGGCGTATGTCTAAGATCGATCTGCGCTCACGCAGAGTATATATCTCAACGAGCGACTGGATGGGATACTTTCACCATCAAATATCTTTCAAAGCAATGCAAGTGCAATATGGATAGATACTTGGCCTTACACAAATATATATTCCGATCCATTTGCTTATATGGACGAGATGACTGTTGTAACATGCGTCAAAAATGCAAGCGAGCTTCTCGACGAAGCGACACTTGTAGCTTACTATCGATTTGACAATTCATTCGTCGATGCAGGTCCGAACAAGATAAAAAATGGCAGCGGAAGCAATGTTCAATTTGACGCCAATGGTCGAGCCAATCAAGCTCTTCTAATCGATTCGAATTATTCTTTTCTCCAAACATCAAGCTTCTACTTTCTAGGTCAATCGAATTATCCGTACTCAGTTGCTCTATGGATTTACCCGTTTGCAACCAATGGAACCACTATTCAGGTATTGCTTTTTGACTGAGAAGAACAAAGTATTGTTTATATAGGCTTTAATATATTTAGCTTCTTTCTATCAATAATAACTGGTGGTCGCCCATGATAGGCTTCGATTCAAATAATCGTCTTATAACGCAGACATGGAATGGTACAGCATGTTACAATACGGCCTTGCATTCGTTTGTCTTACCATTAAACATATGGACACATGTAGCCACAACTTTTTCGACCACGAACGGACTTCGTCTCTTTATTAAAGGAACACGCGTTAACGTGAGCAGTTCAAATTATGCTCATGCTTCCAGTGAATTATGGAGTATAATGTCTGTCGGTACATGTACTCAGCCGATGGTGTGGTATAGCAATACAGAAACTCGAATAATAGCGAATCAATATCGAGGCAAAATCGACGAGCTGAGGATTTATTCGCGAGAATTAACAACTGTTGAAGTTAATGCACTAGTCAATGTTTATTGTGCCGTATTAATCTTTTGTTCGTGGCTACTGTACATTTGCTTTCACAATGAAAAGTTAAATCAGTACAATAAAGTTTCATAGCTCATTTTCACTAAATTAGGACTCGGTAGATCATATGTCATACACTTGTCGTATTTATCTTTGAAATTACAATACTAAATAGAAACTCATTTTTGTGAGGCTGATTGTTCGACGTAATGAGAGTCGTCAATAGAAGTTGATTAGTTTTCATTGGTACTTTACATTGAGAGCATCATCTACACCCACACCCAAGACCACTTTTTAGTACAATCAGTGGCTCAACTAACAAGTCAAGATGTGCATTTGCAACAATTACACAACTGGAAGCAACGCCATCGACATCGCATTCCGTAGTGTATCGAAGAAATAGTACTCAATGACAACAACTCACTTATGCACTTATTTTTCTAACAATTATTGTATTAAAAAACAAAACAATTAGGCCTGAGACAGACTACAAAAATAAAACAGTTTTAATTTCGTTTTAAAAATAGATCCGTACACACTAAGAGAGTAAATAGCCAATGAGAGAATGGAATACGCCTCCATAATGTGAAAGAAATAATCATATACATAATTGTCGACTGATCATAGATGTCGCTACTCTTTGTGGATGATTTCTATCAAAAGTTTTGCGAAAATGATTATTAAATTAAATAAACTAATTAACCATTGTCTAGAGAGATGTGATATGATCTTCTAAAAAAGAAATAAAGCATATCATAAATTATTTTCTCAAGAAATCCTATGATATTTTTGAAAAAAAAAATATTCAGAAATAAGAAACTAATCCCATCAATAATTTATTAGAGAAAAAAAAAGTCACTAGACAAAGTATTTACAATGGATTTTGTAAAAAATATTCTGTAAGTGCTGCTCTAACATCAACACCACTTGTTGTTTGCATGTTACAACCTGGTTTCTTGTGTGTTGGAAGTGGTAAATTCCACTCAATTTCCAATCCATCATCACTCATTATACATAGATTGTGAAGAATAGTCACCGCTTTGATAATATTTATGATATTATCTATATCATATTCAAGCTTCTTATACAAACAACGAAACCTATTTTTGAGAGACCCAAAAGCTCTCTCGACGGTTGACCGACAGCGACTTAATCTATAGTTGAAAATTGCATGATTTGGAGGCATGTTAGGTGTAGATGGATAAGGTTTCATCAATGTTTTATGCAACGCGAAGGCAGAGTCAGCAATAATATGCGCCTGGATCTTTACATTGTTTATCTTCATGTAATGATTAGCGTATATTGGATGTTGAATAACTTCCGCTAATTGAGATCGTCGGTAAACCGACGAGTCGTTGCAACGACCAGGAGCGCCAATGTTAACGTATGTTAGTTGTAGTGAAGCATTCACCACCGCCAATAGTATAATAGAATGATGTTTTTTATAGTTGAAGTAATCAATCTCTTCTCCCTTCGGTGGATTTATGCTTATGTGCGTACCGTCCAAACAGCCAATGCACATTGGATAACCAAAAGTATCCAGGAAATCTTTAATTGTAATTTCAATTTCATTATCAGTTTCTGGAAATTTGATAAACCGATTAAAAAAATTATCTACCAATGCAGAGCAGAAATCGTGCAGGATTTCTCCTGCCGTACTGCGACCTATACCAAATAGATTAGCAGCCGTACGTAGCTCGCACGTTGAACCAAGGAGATACAAAGCGCAAGCTACTCTTTTTTCAATAGGAATAGCTTGTCGTAGAATCGTATCTTTCTTCTTTAAAACAGGACCAATCCGATGAACTAAGTCAATAAAAGTTGATCTGTTTAGCCGAAAATTGTCTTTGAATTGTTTTTCTGTCATTCCTGGAACTATCTGGTCCCACCACTTGTCGTTTTTTTCATAAGACCATATAAAACGTGGATAGTGCTGTTGTAAGCCATCAGAAATAATCAAAAAATTTAAGATTAGCTGCTTCTGCAGAAGTAACTTTTTATGATATTTTTGTCGTGCACGTTCATATTCAAGACGAAGGTTCATTATTTCACGGCTTAATCTTTGCCTTTTTAATAAATACAATTGAAAAAATCCAATTAGTGCCTGAAGATCCATCTAAGAGAGCAGACATAGATTATTACTAGCATTGAAAGCATTAAGTTATATTGATTCCTTCAAATAAGATGCTTTCAAAGAAAATTATTCATGTTTTCGCAAAAATAGTATTGAAAATTTAACTGATATTTATTTTTAAATTGAAACGTAACAACAGAAAAGTCTTGCTATAGATCTTTACCATAACCATTTACGAAACACAAATGAAATAGTCAGAGAAAAATTGTTACAAAGGATAAATGAAAGAAAAAAAAATATATCGACATGTACAAGACATAAATAAACTGTCATGAAGCACCAATACAAAAAAATTCACTTAAACTTCATCGATTTGAAGTCATACTATTCATCATGCTTTTGAATACATTTAAGAATTCTCGTTCATTGTTAAGACTTTCTTCTTGAAGTCTCGTTTGTTTCTCGAGAATTTCTAATACCTTCATTTCTGATCGAGACATGGTTTCATTGGCACTATCGATTTTTGTAAGTAGCTGTTCCATCAATCCAATTCTATAAGTAAAATCAGAAACATTATCTTCTGGTGAATATGTTTGAATTTTAATTACTTTATTTCCGATGCTTTTTTCTTTTTTCTTTGTGTTGGAGTATTTCTTTTTGTTGATGCGTCTATGCTTGTAGGCGTATTCGTTTTTGAAGTAGATATGCTACTGGAAGGACTTGAAAGATAATTTGAATTTGATGGAACAGGACTATTTATTTCTTCAACATTTCCTTGTGATGAAAATGAATCATCAGCTTGTTCGGCCACTTGTGTCAAAGCCATATCAGGTATTTCAACATTATTAATATCCTCCAGAAGTTTTTCTTGCTCGATGATCATTGAATCAGACAACAGACTATTATCGTTATATGCTCTTTCCCCTAAAAATAAAAATTATATTAGTATATCAGATAACTCAGAGAGTACAAAAAAAATGAAGCTCACCGAGAAGTTTATCCAGTAAATCGAAATACCGCCAACTACACGGACTAGCACCTGTCGTTCCCTGTTCTTTTTTTCTTCGACGGTACTCTGTTATTAAATTACCAATTTTCGATTTGACGTCAGCTGCACTAACATTTCGATTTGTAAAAATTTCGTTCAGTTGATTGGCCATCGATTGATATATGGTACTATTTCTACAACCAGGAGAGGTTAGTTTTACATAATTATCACCCCATATTCCAATAAAAATGATGGTTTCCTCTTCTGACCAGTTTTTACTCCGCTTGATGCACTGCGAATCTATGAGAGAAAACTCTTTGAATCATAAGAATAAAAAAACTAACTTACTAGTTTGCTCCGTTTTCGTGTTTGACTTTTTTATATATCCTTGCTTCTTTTCTGCACATGGTGATAAATTTCTCTTGTTATTTGCACTTGAGACTTGAACATTTGATGTATTCGTGCTTGAACCTAAAAAAAAATATTTTAATTAAATCCTCGAACTTCAAAATAAAATATTTTTTCCATTTCAGAGAATTCTTATTTCAGCTTAGAAAGAAAGTTCTTATCAGTTAGTAAAAATATTTCGATGGATTTGAAGACAATACAGTCATAACGTTAAAAACATAAATTCTTTTACTCAAGTCTTTTGTTGATACTTCTTCGACTAAGTTCAATTCACCAGATGCTGTTTTCACGAATGATGGTGATGTATTTAGGTGTGTTTCAGGAGCAACTGAACATATTGTTGAATCTTTTGTGTTTGGTGCTGAAGATATAAAAATGTGTTTTGGTGTTGTAATTGTTGGTGAACGTGTGAACCTGTTAAGAACTAAAACAGAAGAGATATTTTATAATATGTTGTTTTATGTTTGAGTACAAATTCAGGCATACTTTGAGATGAGCTATTAACCAGACAGCTTTTGTCAGAAGAGACGACAAATCGAATGTATTGAGGTCTGATCATCTGAAACGAAAATAAAATATGAATATTTTGTATTTTTTCATTTAAATGTGACTGGCACTACTAAAATAATAAGAGTTACTTCGGACGTCACACTCTAAAAAATCAAGACACATGAAGTGTATAAATAAGACGATTCGTGCGTCTAAACAAGACGCTTAGCGCTATTTCTGATTGGTTGGTTAAAGACTAATTTAGACACTTCAAGTGTCCGCGGATAACCGATTTGGAACACTTGAGCGTCTTAATCGATCCTGATTGGACTATTTACACCAATCGATTTCAGAGTCTTAGTACT